CACACACACACACACACACACACACACACACACACGCACACACACCCCAGGATGAACCACAATTTTTCAGATCAACAATTTTCTTCCTGAAGGCAGATTTTTTTTTAATTTTTGTTTCTTGAAGTGTCACACAAAGAACCTGTTTTTGAGATGAGCTTTTACGTGTGTCTGTAATTACTCCAATGCTGTGAACTAACCTCTCAAAGTTTCCACAGCCATGGCATCATCATCTGGGCTTTCCTGATTTTTTTCTGTGTGGATTCTCTTATGTTTGGTCAAATGTGACTTTTCAATAAACTTTTGATCACACAGCTCACTGTCCTGTGTGGATTCTCATGTGTCTGTTTAAACTGCTCTTTGCAGTAAACTTTTGATTACACAACGCACAACTAAATGATTCCGGTCCTGTGTGGATTCTCATGTGTTTGTTTAAATGCCCCTTTTTGCTAAACCTTTGATCACAATTCTCACAACAAAATGGCTTCTGTCCTGCGTGGATCCTCATGTGTCTTTTTAACGTTCCTTTTCGGCTAAACTTCCGATCACACATAACACAACAAAATGGTTTCTGTCCTGTGTGGATTCTAATGTGTGCATTTAAATGTGCCTTTTGGCTAAACCTTCGATCACACAGCTCACAACTAAATGGTTTTTGTCCTGAGTGGATTCTCATGTGTCTGCTCAAATTACACTTCGTGATAAACTCTCTCCCACAAATTTCACAATAAATTAGCTTCCGTCCATTTTTGTTGTTTTTTACACCTGATTCAGGAACCCTGCTGGGAGGAGACTCACAGTCTCTATCAAGGTCTTCGGTTTTTGACCCAGAGTCTGCTAAATGTTTCAGCTGAGAGTCAAGGTTGTTCACATCATCATGTTCTTCATCATCCTCACTGACTTCCATTTCTGAAGAGTTAGAATCACTTTCATCAGCCCTAATGATTTCAGTGTGTGAAGAATCATCTTCATAAGAACTCAGATTTTGGTTTCCTGTAGTTTCTGCTCCTCCACAGGACTCTCCACCAGTTGTTGATTCCAGGTTGTCAGCTGAGCTGCTGGTTGGAAGCTCTCTGACTTCAACTTGGTGTTGATGAAGCTGTAAGAACAAAGGTTTATCTTCATCATCCTCAGGCTTCACAGGAACTGCAGTGAATGAAAAGCTGGTGGCATCAGTCTCCTCCTTCACACTGAGCTGCTCTGCTTCCAGACTGGTCCATTGTTCTTCATTTTCCTCTTTTATATGGAGGTGTTCTTGGTCCTGCTGGTCCACATCAGGCCTCTGCTCTTCAGGAGCTTCTTCTTTAATGAGTACCAACTCCTGAACACCTGCAGGAACCCCTGAAACATATGTACAGTTAGATCCATAAGTATACTGACACAAAGTTTATTGTATTTGTTTACTGAAATATATTCAAGTTATAGGTATTTTATAGACATGTAAATAAAGACTTTCAGCTTTTGTTTGAGGGTATCAACTAGGGATGAGCGAGTACACCACTATCTGTATCTGTATCTGTTCAACCATCTAAATTACCTGTATCTGTWCTCAGAGTGGGCGGGGCCTAAACCAGATGTAGCTGTGGTTTGACCAAAAGCTGGCAGGGCTTAAATCTGTACATTATTTTAAGTCTGAAAATGATCTAGATTGATCAGAAGTTTCTATATGTATTGTTTGTTTGAATGTTATTTACAGAAAAGCTTCAAAAATGAGATTCAAATCAAAGTTTTAATCACAAAACTTAAAAAATAATTCATGTTCTGAGTTTT